CAGACAGGGATGGGCCCTGGCCTGGATAACTTACTGTTGTGCAGAGAAGAATCCAGCATTGTCTAGTTGGAATCCCAGGACATAAGGAAGGACAGGAAGCTATCAGTGACTACTGCTGCTCTGAGGAAGAAAGGGGGCAAGAGCCGGGGTCCACCTCCTAGTCCACACCCCCAAGGTCATCTTTGACCACAGCCTGTCTCCTTGTTTCTCCTCCTAAGATGTTGTACTGGCTGGTTTTGTGTGTCAACTTGACACAAACTGGAGTTATCACAGAGAAAGGAGCCTCCCTTGAGGAAATGCCTCCATGAGATCCAGCTGTAAGGCATTTTCTGTATTAGTTAGTGATCAAGGAGGGAGGGCCTATTGTGGGTGATGCCATTCCTGGGCTGGTAGTCCTGGGTTCTATAAGAAAGCAAGCTGAGCAAGCCAGGGGAAGCAAGCCAGTAAGTAACATCCCTCCATGGCTTCTGCATCAGCTCCTGCTCCCTGACCTGCTTGAGTTCCAGTCCTGACCTCCTTTGGTGATGAACAGCAGTGTAGAAGTGTAAGCTGAATAAACCCTTTCCTCCCCAACTTGATTCTTGGTCATGATGTTTCTGCAGCACTGGAAACCCTAAGACAGATGTACTTTAGTGATTTTTGAGCCTCAGTATACAGCAGCCAGGGTCTGAAAGGTAGACCTCTGGGTCCTCAGAGCTCCAACTGAAGCTGAGGCAGCTGACAGGGGAGTGGTGCATGCATCACAGGGGGTCTCTGCCCCAGCTGGGGACATCAGGGGTCAAGTTACATACCTCTCTGCCTTATTCTGGGCCCTAGTCTGGGGGTCCTGCATGCTGTCCTTACAACTCATTGAGGCTCCTTGGAAGCCCAAGGCTGCAAGGTGCCGGTCACCTCCTTGTACAGACACAGCCCTGACATACTCTGAGCCCTCTGTGAGATGGCCTTCATGATCTCAGGAGTCAATCTCCAGCCTGAGGCACGTCTTTCCTTCTCTCTCACTTCTCACAGAGGATCCCAAAGGAGGAACAGGGATAAGCCACCAAGATGATTCTCTTTCCCTAGTTCAGCAGGGCCTGCCCTCCCCAGGGTGATCAGAGTTGCCAACAGTAAGAGGCTTGGGTAGGAGGTGCTGGATCCCAATAGGAATCCTTAACTCCTTCTAGTGGGAATGTGGCCCACAGCACCTTACCTGAGATTTCATAATGACATCGGCAGGGTCCCTGTGAGATGTCGCACAGCTCTGCCTCCTGCCTACTGCAAGATGCGGACTCTGCCAAGAGGCCCTGTGTGCCTGCCGCTGGATGCTTGAGTGTCTCCAGTAGCTGTTGTCCCAATCCCTGTAGCCCACAGCCTCCCGCACATAAGGTACCCCCACCAGAGATCTATGTCCCAGCTCAGGGCCCTGTCCCCCTCCACAGATAATCTTGCCTTCCTGGGCCTGTGGGAAAGCCCACACCTTGCAGGCCTCCACTGTCCCTGTCTTGGGACAGGGATATATGCCTGGGAAGAAAATGCAGATCTGGGACTATAAGAGAAGACATCGGACAGCCCAGGAATGTGGTGCTTTCTGTGAGGTCACACAACATAACTTCAGCCTTCCTTTGAAGCAGGAAGCAGGTTCACTATTCACTTCCTTCTTGAGATGTGAAGAGCGTCTTTGTCCTCCCACTCCATTGTAGAACTCCCGGTGTAATTATTTTTAGAATCTGACCGTACTGGGGGAGGGAGATGGTTGCATGACCAGATGCCATAATTGACACAGAGTGCCCTTTGCCTCTATATTTTCCAAGGAGGATGCCAGTAGTGCACACAGGGGTGGGGGACAATAGAACTGGGCCTTGACTGGTCTTCTCAGAGAAGAAGGGGCTGAGCTCTCTGCTGGGAGACCCGTGGCAGAGCCCCCAGCTTCAGGGAGCCACGTGGAGGCCAGAAGACAGAGGACACAGGGTGAGGCCTCAGCAGCCTTTGCTGTCCCCTACAAGACCCACAGAAAGGAGAGTACCCAGGTTGATATGTGTGGCTGAAGGTGTTTAGGGACCAGAGAAGGGATACAGCTGGGAGGAAATGAACAATGAAGGGGCTTCTGAGACTGTGGTAGGCTTCCCTCATGGACTCAGGAAAGAAGAGGCGAACCCCGATCCACCCACCACGGCTGCTTCTGAGCGCAGGTTCTCAAGAAGAGACTAGTGCCTGTCTGACCCGGGAGAACCTATATATCACCTCTGAGGGAGTCATTTACCCACCTTATCCCAGGGGAAGAGGTTGTGTGTTCTGCTTCAAGAAAGGAATCCAGACGGAACAGGAAGTGGGTCAGCAGCAGAGAATAGGGGGATGATGAACAAGAAAGCTAATGTAATTATACCCTGGGGTATAATCTGCCCCAAAGGCCTAATCTCCAGACACCAGATGCAAACCCCAAATTCTGTATCTATCAATTGTTGCAGTTTCAATGTGCCAATCTCCCAAATGTCCCCCTTGTTCTCTCAGTAGTATCCTTGGGGGATAGAACAGCCCTCAATCTGACACTATCGTGTTCCCAGAGGTCAAGATAGGATCACATAAACCCTCAAGTATAGTAGCCTGCAGCCCTCAGTACTGCCCCTGCCTGCCCAGCCTCACCAATCACCTCATTAGCCACCTCACCAGAGGGGACATGAGTAGCCAGGAATTCCATGTCCACAGTCAGCACTGAAATCTGAGCCCAAGCCTGCTGCTTCCAAAAAGACTAAAGTGGGGAGGGGCTCAGAGTCCAATAGTATCCTCGGAGCCTAAGAAGGCATGCAGTCAAAGCAAGGCCAGAACCCACAGGCAGAAGGGTCTGCAGACTGGAAGCCAGGTGACTGACTGTTTTCAGGGGTACTCATTTAGAGAGGAAATCTCAGCTAGAAGGGAGACTCCACCCAGGAGCAGAAGCCCAGGACCCAGGCTTCAAGATGACTCTGGGCACCTCAGAGCCACTAGACTGAAATCTTGGCCTCTCGGCAGACATATCCTTACTCTGGAGGAGCTATAGGTTCCCTTGGGCCCGCTCAAGAGGCCATGTAGTACAAGGTGGGGGTGGGGGGAGGGAGGGGATGGGGATCCATGCACACTAAACAAAGTGATTCCCACCCATACTCAGATCAGAGTTGAAGGGAGTAAGTCTCTGCTATCAAGGTATCAGGTAGGCAACCTTATCTCCACCAAGAGTCATCAACCTTGGCTTAGTTGGACCAGATTCCAGCAAGCTTTTCCTGTAGGGCTGGGAACAGTATGTGCTGAGTCTGGGAGGGGTGTGTGCAGCACTGGGGACAATGTGCACCTCCACTGAAGCCAGGGTGGCCACACCACTGCCTCTTACATTTCCTAAACATTGCCTGCCCTCACTCTTCTGAAATGCTCACAAGCTCAGGCCTGGGTGCATGTGGCCCTGGCAGAGGAAGAGCTGGGCTCACAGGAAGACTATTTGACAGCCTAGGCCTGTGGGAGGAAGGTATAGTAGCGAGCCTCCTTCTCCTTACAGGGTCCTGGATACCCAGGTCCTCACGAGGTCAGAGGCTCCCCCAGGAGAAGCAGGTGGCAGCTAGAAGTAAGCACGTGGCCTGCAGCTGACAGGGCCAGAAGAAAGACCAAAAGAGATGACCCTAACTTGGGAAGAAACCATGGCTATGAGGACTTAGGAATGGGTGTGCAGGACAACAGGAGGCTGGGCAAGTTCCCAAATGCTAGGAAGGAAGACAGTTCAAGAGGAGTCAAGGAAGCTCTGCATGCTCATGGCTAAGGCACCGGACACATATCTTCCAATTAGCCCAGAAGGGACCACCCATGCCATGCACCGTCATTGGCATTTGTGAGTCCTGGCCCTTGATGGTCACTTCACCCTAAGTGAAAGACAAGGTTAGACAATTTGAGGAACATGGAACTGGGACTCAAATATTTGTTCCAAGTTACCCCTAGGAGACTGGCAATTTCTCCCACTCCCTATTGATAATCCAGGAAAGTGTGGCTTAGGCAAGTTAAGGAGCTGGCCAAAGCCACAAGACAGGTAGAGTTCTCAGGACTTGCCAGTAACTCTGACTCCTATCCTGAACCCAGAGCTTCTTCTCTCCATCCTTCAGGTGAGGGAACGTGACTCTCCAGTACTTATCTCATCCATCTGCAAACTGTCCTGGAGCTTAGGGGTCTGCTATACCCTGGGAGAGACCCAGGAGTCCAAGGGCTCACACAGCGTACACTGGGGGAAACAGTGACTGGGGCTTTGCCAGGCAGAAGCCAGTCCCAGAAGGCTCTCTGCCTCTAAGTCAACACCTACCTAGGTGCAGAGGCCCAGGGAGGAGGGGATCTACATTCTGTAGGCTTATCAAGGGCAGGAGTACCCCAGAGTGGTTAGTGGTTGCAATATCAGGAGACAGACATCCTGAAAAGTGTGAACAGTAGGGAGACCTCTGGGGAGGTAACTCATAAAAGAGACTGAAGGAGAAGGAGGTTACACAGGGAGCAGCCTGTCTAGGGAAGAAGAGGCCAGAGCAGTAGGAGCCTGGGCAAGGAAGATCACAGACAGGAGGTGAGGAAAATGGTTCTTGGAGCTGCAGCTGGCAGACCATGCTTTTTTTCTAAATACTCTGGAGAATATCTCCACTCGCATGGAAGGTACCTGGCCTGTGACCCTCAAATAGAATCCTGAGCCCTTGTGGTTGTGAAGCCAGGGTCCCCAGAGGTTTGAGATGGGTGCTGATCCAGCCAAGAACCAGGCCTACATCAAGCATGACAGTGCCAAGGCCTGGAGGGGTAAAGAGCCAAGACAGGAACAGGTGGCTCCGGAGGCCACCACTCACCTTTTGTAGTCCCCACCAGCTCAGGAACAGCTCAGGTGAACAGGACACTGTAATAACTAACTTCCCCTTCCTCTCTATCCCCGGAGGTTCTGGAGGGAAGTGATGCTCCTGGCCTGGTGCCTGTAGCTGGAGACCAATGTGAGGCTCATTGTTTGAGATTAGAGCTGGTGGGGGCCACAGGAAGCCCCCAGTAATGTCCTATGTCCTACTTACTGCAGACTCAGAACTCTGAGTGGGGACTGAGCCAGTAGACAGAAGAGCCTGAGCCAGGATGAAGGCTCTCGGGGCTGTCCTCCTGATCTTGCTACTAAGTGGACAGCCAGGTACGGGTCACCTCAAGAAGGGATGGGCCAGTCCTTACCCATGAGTACCTCCAGGAACCCCTTATCCTAGGGACAAGGAACATGCCTGAGGAGTAGGATGGAAGGCGGGGCTCTTCTCTTCTGCGCGCTGCAGGCTTGGCTGCTTCAGCACTGCAGGGTTGAGGGGAGTGGAATTCTGTCTCCTTCTATAAAATGGAAAGGGTATGAGGAAGAGAGCATGTTAGTTAGGGTCAGGACTTAGTGCTCAACCCTGAGTCCCCTCTGCATCTAAGTGGCCAAGGCTTACTGATGTCCCTGCATCACCAGGGATCAACAGGACACAAGAAGATGATGATGCGGACCCGGAGCCAGAGAGTTATGGCTACGATGATGACGATGAAGAAGAGGAAGAGGAGGAGACCAACATGATCCCTGGAAGCAGGGACAGAGGTACCCCACCCCAGCTGAGGGCCCAGCTTCCTGCTCTACACAGAGCATTCTCGTAACGCTTACCTCCCATCCCTGAGGATAAAGCAGAACAAGCTGCTAGCATCCAAGCCAGGAGCCCCGCATGCCCACACACTGGCTCTCCCCTCAGGCTGCAACCTTGTCCACCCTGAGCCAACACCCAGGACTGCCCCTCTCAACCCTACCCCAACCCCCATGACCCTTAGCCCTGGACCTCACCTTACCTAAACCCCATGCTCTGTCTTTCCTCTTAATAGCTCCAGGCACAGGCCCCTCTGGGAGGGCTACTGGGTAATTGGTGGTAGGGACCAGGCTTGGGCATGGCCCTGGAGTCCCACTCTTAACCTGAGCTGCCCTGCTACTCACAGAGCCTCTACAGTGCTACTTCTGCCAAGTGCTTCACAGCGGGGAGAGCTGCAACCAGACACAGAGCTGCTCCGGCAGCAAGCCCTCCTGCATCACAGTCATCTCCCATGGCGAAATTGGTGAGCACCTCAGGGAGGTACACCCAGGGCGGGGGACGGAGAAAGAGCCCACACCAACACCCATGCTCCACCCTTACCACCTGTTTTCCACACCCCCTAGACAAAGGTTACCTGACTACCTACTCCATGTGGTGTACCGATACCTGCCAGCCCATCAGCAAAACAGTGGAAAGAACCCAGATGACCCAGACCTGTTGCCAGTCCACATTGTGCAATATTCCACCCTGGCAGAACCCCCAAGTCCAGAACCCTCTGGGTGGCCGGGCAGACAGCCCCCTGGAGGGTGGGACCAGACATCCTCAAGGTGGCCGTCCCCAGGTTGTCAAGGTTGTTCATCCTCAGAGTGACGGGGCTAACTTGCCTAAGGGTGGCAAGGCTAACAAGCCTCAGGGAAGCGGGGCAGGATGCCCTCTAGGCTGTACCAAATTTGGTAATACAATCTTCCTGCTCAGCTTCATCACGAGTCTGTGGGCATCAGGGGTCTGAAGACCTGTCCTCCTCCAACCAGGACACCCTGGCCTCTCCTCCCTGACAACCAGCTTCAGAGAATAAACTTGAATGTTTTTTGCTGTCTAGCCAGTTGCAGCTCCTTCAGCGATTCTCTGCCCTCATTTTCACCCTCAGGCCTCCTTCCCTTCTCTCCTCAGCCTGTGGGCAGCAGCGTAGGTAACATTTCAGCCTCAGATTCAGTTGTCTATTGCCTGTGCTCTGGGGATGTTCAGCCTATAGGGGCCCCATCTGCTCAGCAACGCAGAGAAAATAGCAAGCCTGGAAGGCTCATTCTCATCCTGAATTTGCCAGCATGAAATTCTTCCCCAGAGCCACCATCTAGAGAAAAATCAGCCCTTTCATATGTGTGAGGTGCAGGGTGAGCATCCAGAGACCTGGAGGGAAGGGCTGTTGGAAGGAAACCAAGAATATTGCAGGGCTGAGGTACAGTGACTGCAGCTAAGGCAAAGAGGGAGGCAGAAAGGGTAAGGAAAGCCTGGCTGCTTAGTAGGGGATTCTCCAGCTATGCCCTGGCACAGAAATCCATCCTCTTCTGGGTTTTAGAATCCCTCTTCTAGCATAGGCCACTAGGAGGATGCTGGGAACCTGAGATAAACAGCAGGTCTGGGAAATGTCAAAAAGCCCCAAGGTCTCCTTAGGCAGAGAAATAGATGGCACACACATCCCTGCCTGGGTGGGTGGGTACCTTCTCTGGTGAGGAGAGGCCCCTAACAGGTAGCCTCTCCTTAAGTCAGCAGGGAACCTGGCTTCTTGGCAGGTTGGCCAATCCTTCACTGGGTATGTCTCATATTGACTGAGCTCTTGGCTTCTTTGACAGCACCAAGCTAGACTTCTACCAGCACTTGGTGCCACAGCAGATCTCTGGGATAGAAAAAGAAGAACATGTCTGGGCCACTACTCCACTGCTAACTTGGATGGAATTCAGATTCCCCACTTGTGCAACACGGAGCGGGCTTAAGGGACTCCTGGGTCCCCAGTACCTTAATGTTGCAAGAACTAGAAGTCTAGGGTCCTTTTCTAAAAGCCAAGTTTGTTTGTTGGCATGCAGTAAGAAACCCCCTAGTATATCTTATCTCTGCTTTTCCTGTTAATAAAGTATCAGTGCTAAGCTAGTCTGTACAAGGACAGAGCCCTTGGGTGGAGGAGGCACCTCTTCCTCTGTCCCCTTTCTCCTTCCTGATGATTGGAATTCAGCAGCCCTATCTACCACAAGGAAGCATCATGAGGATAGCAAGGGAACATGGGAGAAGGTTCTAGAACATCAATAAATAAGACATTGCACCGTGTACCTCAGGAAGCCCTTTTTGATTTTTCTGTTGCTCACGTTTTCACGCGTGTTTGCACACATGGGCTTACACACATGCTTCGTTACACACACAGACACAGCTCCAAGCGGTTCACAGCTGGGAAGTCAGATCGCCTGAGTTAAAATCTTCAATCCATCCTACAACTCCAAGACCTCCGGGACCCCCATGCAGCTCATCACCTCTGTGACAAGGGACTCCACTGTGGACACACTAAAGTGTCCCAAGCCTGAGTATTCATAAGACACTTAGGACTCATGCACCATCCGACCCACTGGGGTGTGTGTTTATTGTAAATGCCCCACCTGTGCTAGCTTCAGTCTCTCCAGACTAAAAGAACCCTCAGTAACCACCCCCGACTTACAAACACTAGACACATTGTTTCAGCCTGAAGTCACTGCTTTAGGGCCTCTCCGGCCTCACTATCCTGTTCCAGGGTCTCTGTGCTCGCTTCTGAGGAAGCAGGAGACACAGCTAAGGTCAAGCTGGAGACTGTGCAGGTGGAACGGAGTGCAATCCAGTGGCTTCAGAAAGGAGCAAGGAGTAACTTGAGAACACAGAAGGTCATCTGCCGGCACTCATCGTTATCATAGTCAGCCATCCTGACAACCCCCCCCACGTGCACGCACACACACACACACACACACACACACACAAAGTTCCAACTTTCCCCAGTGCCATACACTCATGCTCAAGCCTTCAACACCAGCCTCTGGAGGACATGTAAGATCTAAGCCTCACTTTTGAGACCAGCATGCAGGAACACTGCAGGTGGAAGCTAGGCTGGGCCATACCCTCCTCTAGTGCTGCAGCATACCCTTGGACTTATGGGGAAGTCATGAGACTGTGACCTACTGCAGCACCCTTGGGAAACCAACCCAGCCGCACTTCCCCCCGCCTGGCTGGAGGATTGGGCACAACCCCTCCCTCACATCCTGTTGTTCTTCCTTGGGATGACATCCTGCACTGGGTTCTGAGATAGGGTCTAGGATATCTTGACTGACTGGCACCTCTCACCTGCCTAGGAACTGTGGGAACCCTGTAGGTATATGCACTATTTAGCTCCCCTAGCCTGTGAGACAACACCTTACCTAACTCCTAGTGACATTCTTCACTTGATCTTAGACAAAAGGCAGAGAAGTGATAGTGACATTCTTTAAATAGCAAATATCTGGGGGAATGAGTCTTGCTTCTGTAGCCACAATCATGTGACCTTGAGCCAGATCCCCCTGTCTGAGATTCCTGTATCCTTTGTTGGGGAGTCCTGACCATGTCCATTCTCACCAGCACACCCCTCTACCTCAGAGCTCATTGACTCATGGCAATGCTGTGTGTGTGCGCACACACACACACACGCACACTTGAGTACGCACATGTACATGTACATGCACATGCACCTGTTCCTCTTACTTACTTTTCGATAGCTGTGAGGAGATACCATGGCCAAAGCAACTTACAAAAAAAAAAATAATACATTTATTGGGGCTTCAGGTTCTAGAGGATGAGCCCATGGCAGGGAGCATGGCAGCAGGCAGGGAAGCCTGGCACTGAAGCAGTAGGTAGCTGAGAGCTTACATCTGGTCCACAAGCATGACATAGGAGTGCCTATGATACTCGGAATGGTGTGGGCTTTTGAAACCTCAAGGCCAGCTCCCAGGGACACACTTCCTCCAACAAGGCCACACCTCTTAAACCTTCCCAAACAGTTCCACCAACCGGAGACCATGTATTCAACTATATGAGCCTATTGGGCTATTCTGCTTTTTAACACTCTCCCATTGCAGCTGCCTGGCCTATCAGCTATGATACACACACACACACACACACACACACACAATCAATAAGTAGAACTCAGCTCAGTACCCACTTAAGGATGTCTCCTCCCACTTAGGGATAGCTTCATACCCACTGAGGGGTGGGACCAAGGTTGCCCTGGGAAACAAACAAGCATCCATCCAGGAGTTAAAAGGTTTCTTCCTCAGTGTGTCCTCCCCTCTTTTAAGAAAGGTTCTCTCTACATAGCAATTTGCTGTCCTGAAACTGACCAAGTAGACCAGGCTGGTCTTAAACTCTCAGAGACCAGTCTGCCTCTGCCTCTGCCTCCTGAGTGCTGGGATTAAATTAAAGGCACATGCCCAGCTGTGACTTTTTCTCTTAATTCTGTGCGAGGTGTAAAGGAAATATACCATCTTTTCCATCAAAGAGTTAAATAAGACAAAGCTCCTTTTTTTTTTTTAATTATAAAGAAGCCACTCACTTGGCAGAAATTCAAATTCCCCTAGGGGCATCATTTTTTGAATCAAATATGTGCTCAGGATTGTGTTCTCTTTTAAAATTTTTTCCCTTTGCTTATCAGCTGCCTTGTTCTAAGTCAGCCAACGGCTTGTTTGTTTGTTTGTTTATTGTATGTGAGTACACTATTGTTCTCTTCAAACACACTAGAAGAGGGCATAAGATCCCATTACAGATGGTTGTGAGCCACCATGTGCTTTCTGGGAACCGAACTCAGGAGTGCTGATCCATCTCTCCAGCCCTTGTCAAACTGCTAGAAATGTGTCTGGGATCCCAAGAAAATAACCACACAATCTCAAGTATGTTGCTGGCAAGGCAAAATGTTTCAGTTAGCCACAGCTCCTGTAGCCGTCACACACACACACACACACACACACACACACACACACACACACCCGGGTCAAACTATCTCAGCCTCTGCTCCTGTAGACCCCTGAGCCCGGAAGGTTCAGATGCATCTCCGGAGAGCCCTGAAATGAGCCAGACAGCTCTCTCAGCAAAACCTGAATCCTTGCTTTCTTACAGCGACATCCACAGACCTCAGCCCTTGCGGCTCCACGCTCAGCCCTTTGTAGCACCATGCCAGGAACCCCTTCAGTGAACCTTCTTCCGGCAACCTTCCCTCCAGGCTCTCTTCTCTCCCAGCTTCTAAGTTTCCCCGCCTGGCTGACAGTCATAGCTTTAGGGTGATGGGAACTCTATCCCAGGTGAAGGAAGATAGTGACAGCTGGCTCCTGATCTGCCTCAGAATCAGAACATCCACCAGATCCCGTCATACTCTGAGTCCGCTGTGGGGCGGACTTCCTGGGTGTTATGCTCCTGGGAAGGCTTGGAGCACTCAGCAAAGGGTCTCTGCCCTACTGAGCTGAGGGTTTGGCTCACTTAGCTTGAGCCCAGAACATCGATTTACTTTCAGATGCCAGGAACAGAAAATGTAACTGAAGTAACTGGCTGCAGTTTGTTTGTTTGTTTGTTTGTTTGTTTGTTTTTGTTTGTTTTATGGATGCTTTTGCCAGTTGGTTGCAGTGTGTCTTCTCTCTACTGCTAACTTGGGAGGATGGAATAGGCAACAGAGTGAGCTCCATCTCAAACAAGCAATAAATAAACAAAATGGAAGCATTCTGGGTGTCTGACAGCTGACACAGTAGTGTAACAACCCCAGAGTTGGGTTAGCACCCTGGCTGTGCCTGTGTCCCCATCTCTTCTCGTTCAGTTGTATTAGATCAGGGCCAACTTTAATGACCAGGTCTTATCTTCATTGCCTCTGTAAATACCCTTTCTCCAAACACAGCCACACTATGGGATGGGATGGGATGGGATGGGATGGGATGGGATGGGATGGGATGGGGACAGGTAGGAATTAAGTGTGGCTTTCTAGGCTGCCATTCAGAACATGTCAGAACTCCTGGTCTGTCAGCAACAGGGAGACCAGGGAGAGAAAAAGATTGTCAGGTAGAGGGACTGCTTTCTAGGAACTCTTGGAGACTGTGGCCACAAATCACACTCAGTCATCACATACATGGCCAATCATGTGTACACATGTCCAGCTGGGCAACCATAAGGATGATTGGTGGTCTAGGGGGGTAATCTAGCACCTCAATGGGCTGGTCCAGAAGCACGAGTCCAACCTGGGAAAGGGTACACGGTCGGCCTAAGGAGCTAGGTAAGACTGCTGTGAGCTACCTTGATCTGGCTCCATTCTCACATGATACTCGAAATCTTATCTTGGGGTACCTAAGCTGAGAGATGTATGTGGCTTAACTCTGGTAGAACTCAGTCTGCTGGAGATGTTGTATTAACAAAGAGGATATTAGTTCCCTGACCAGTGGTATCCAGGTGAAGCAAGCCCAAGGTTGCAGAATAAGCTCTGGGAATGTACTGGAGCCCAAGGTTCTTTTCTTGTGTGGGTCCATGGTAACCTACCAGCTGGAGCAAGATGGAGGATATCCTTAGCCTAGATCCAGGCCTAGATCTGCCCAGTGTTATAGAACCTTCTGATAGACTCAGAAGGTCTCCCCTCCATATAGAGCCTGTGGGTATCCCCCTAGATTATGTTGTGTGTTTAGGCTCTGTATTGTGACTCTCCACATAAAAGAAACAACTGTTTGTTCCAAACAGGGAGGTAGCCAATGGGTTAAAGTAAGATCCCACCAAGTTTAGCTTGGAAAAATTTATAAATGAGTCTGCTGGGGTTACACACAGGATGACGCACAGGCAGCTGCACCACTAAAAAGTCCCAACCCCTAATTTTGTTAACCCCTTACATATTTTTGCATTTCTAAGAGGACATGCAACTTGAGCAGGAGGGATGGCAGTTGGACTCTCTGGAGAGGTGTCTTGTGACCGTCCCTTAAGAGCCCAGTGGTGTAGACTTAGCTTCCTCCTGTATAGGTCAACTTACTTCATTGTCCTAGTTTGCTTTCTGTTGTTATGATAAAATACCACAACCAACACCAGCCTGGTGAGGAAAGGGTTTATTTGGCTTTCATGACCCCATCACAGTCCATCACGAAGGAAATTCATGGCCTGAGCTCAAGACAGGAACCAGAAGCCAGGAATTGAGGCTATGAGGAATGCTTGCCCACCATAGCTTTCTCAGCTTATATTCTTATATAATTCAGGACTGTCCACTCAAGGTTGGCACTGCCCAGAGTAAGCTGGGTTCTACCATATGGATCATTAATCATGAAAATGCCTCCAG